ATATATATATATATATATATATATATATATATATATATATATATATATATATATATGGGAAAATTGAATATACCTTTAAGGGTATATAAACTTATGTACCCAAACTCACCATAATACGTCGTTTTGTTTGATATATTCATTATAATGTTCTTAAACTTCAATCCTTAACTTGATTTACTTTCAAGATTTTCAAAATTTCACTATTATCTTCATCTTATATCACATCTTTTTGACGAACACCTACTAAGCTATATATATAATAGTTGAAAGTGAAAATTATGTAAGAGGGAGATAAATGTGAAATTTATAAAAATCTTTGAAGTAAATCAAGTTAGAAGTTGAATTACAAGAACATTACACAATTACAATGTATATAAATGATACAAAACGACGTAGTATGGTGAGTTTGGGTACCTAAGCTTATATACCCTTAAGGGTATATTCATTTCTCTCTCTCTCTCTCTCTCTCTCTCTCTATATATATATATATATATATATATATAGTTATAGTTATAGTTATAGTTACCATAAATGGTCCCGTTAAATGTAACAGACATCATAAACGAGACGTATCTCGTTAGAACTTTGGCCAAAGCTCGGTCTTGGCCAAGGCAGTCTAGCACCGAGGTGGCAGTTCATTTCCCTCCGCGAGGGAAGAACATCCCCCACAATCTTCTCATTCAATCACGACCAATCAGGACGTGACAGAAAGCTTAGGTGACACCCAAAACTGACGTCACTAGACAGTTAGTTAACGTGGGCGTGACCCTCCCAGTCAGAGGAGGCCACGTCTCACGCTCATCGGACGAGGTCCCTACGATCCGTTAGGGGCAGGTATAAAAGGATATTTTCCGCGTCAAGGAAGGGATCCATCTTCTCTCTCACGGATATTACCCTAAAATTACCTCTCTCAGAAAACTAACTTGATCGTCGGAGCGATGTCTCGGGAGAACACCCAGACGTCCTTTAACGATTCTTTTATGTGTTGTGTTCTCAGGAAAACTCTCAAGGCAGATCCATCATCCGGCATCCAAACCCCTGTTGAACATGTCACAACATTTGGCGCCATCCGGACGTATCCTCAGAGTGATACAGCCAATAAACGATGCTGGTTCTTTGCAAAAAGGGGATCTAAACCCAACAGCATCAGGGACGGCAGTAGAAGATTTGTTCAAAATACCGGTGATGTTAAACAACGACCATCATCGCGAGTGTAGAACACATGCCCCAATACATGTGCTAATGGCACAGGTCCCGCCGATTACGGAAAAAATAGCAGAGCCAGTACTCCAGAGCAGTTTCCGGCAACTGTCTTCAGATGTTCCACTGCCTCAGATGGCGATATTGCATCACGATCTGTTGCAGAAAAATCTATATGAGGTAAACAGGTACTCACCATCTCTAACTCTCATAAGAGGAGCACACCTCACTATGCAGAAGACGAGATTGAGGCACTCTCGAGAAACCTACTCAATATTAGCTTCTCGAGCAGCTATCCCAGACCATCGAACTGGGATCCGCGAGACCCACTCCTTATATCTGGATTCATTCGCAACACGAAAGTCCATCGAATATACATCGACAATGGTAGTTGCTCCGATATACTCTATGAGAATTGTTTCCGGCAACTACCAGATGTGTGGAAGGACGCGCTACAGTCCCCAACCGGCGGACCACTGGTAGGATTCACCGGGCACATCTTATGGCCATTGGGCACCATTTGGTTGCCCTTAACATTGGTCAGCCATGACAAAAAGGACCGAATCACAAGGACAATCGAATTCTCTGTGATCCGGTACCCAGCAAAACACAATATTTTGCTCGGACGATCGGCAATCTCCTTACTGCACCTCGTACCATCGACAATCCACAACATCGTTAAGTTTAGCACACACCAGGGATCAGCGGTGGTCCTCGCCACAAACACCAGGGCACAACATTGCCGCCGGATCATAGCCGCCCCAGAGCTTATACGCACACCAAAGAAGTCCAAGAAGGGAGTTCCACCGTGCAACACCAGATAAACATGGAATATCCAGAATAGCTTGTGCGAATCGACGCTCACCTATCAGACAAGACCAGGGCACGACTGGTAGCACTCCTAAAGCAATAATCCACCGTTTTCGCCTGGAAACCAACAGATCTGACAGGCGTTGATCGACAGATTATAGAACACAACCTTAATGTCACGCCCGGAAGCAATCCGGTTAAACAAAAAAAGAGAGGCCAGGCAGCAGAACGAAATAAGGCAATAAATGTAGAAGTGGCCGATCTGGTGAACGCTGACATACTCAGGGAGGTAATATTCCCAACATGGATAGAAAATCCTGTCATGGTAAAGAAATCCAATGGGTCACGACTAATGTGCATCGATTACTCGGACCTTAACAATGCCTACCCAAAGGATTGTTATCCTCTCCGGGAGATTGATCAGAAGGTCCAATCGCTCGAAGCCTTTCAACTCAAATGCTTCCTCGACGTGTACAAGGGTTACCATCAAGTACAAATGAAATGAGAGGACGAGGAAAAAACTGCCTTCCACACCGAAAAGGGGACCTTCTGCTACAAGAAAATGCCGTTTGGACTCAAAAACGCAGGTGCTACTTACCAGAGGCTCATAGACAAAGGATTCGCCGATCAAATCGGTAGGAACATAGAAGTCTATGTCGATGACATGGTAATTAAGAGCGGCAATGAAGAGGAACTACTTCACGATGTGAAAGAAACTTTCCAGATCATAGCTAAAGCGAAGATGAAGTTAAACCCAGCTAAGTGCACTTTCGGAGTTGAGGAAGGGCAATTCCTTGGGTACCAAATATCCAAGGAAGGAATTCTGCCCAATCCCACAAAAATCCAGGAGTTCCTCGAGTCGAAAACTCCTCACAACCTCAAGGGCGTACAGGAAATAAACGGTAGATTGACAGCATTGGGAAGATTCATCGCCAAATCCGTAGAAAAAGCGCTCCCCCTGTACCAAACACTTAAAGGGTGCATAGACAAGAAATAGTTCAACTGGATAGACAAAGCGGATTTGGCATTGTGACAAATCAAAGACGCCCTACAACAACTACCGGCTCTCGCCTACCTGCTGCCAGGGGAAACACTACAGATGTATCTAGCCACTTCCGAAGAAGCTATCTCCTCTGTGTTAGTAGTGGAGAGGGAAGGCAGGCAGGTTCCCATCCATTTTGTTAGTAGGGCCCTACAAGGACCAGAGGTTAATTACCCGGCCTTGGAAAAACTGGTCCTCGCCCTGGTATATGCCGTTAGGAGACTACGGGGGTATTTTCAAGCCTATAAGGTGAATGTCCTGACTAGTTACCCAATAAAGCAAGTGCTGCTAAGGCCGGAAAAGTCTGGGCGCCTAGCCAAGTGGGCCATAGAGTTAGGTGAACATGATATCCATTATCACCCCGGACTAGCATCAAGGCACAGGCCCTCGCAGACTCCCTGGTCGAAATTCCAGATACCATTAAGGGAGTGCCAACGACGATCTCCGTCATCCCACTCGAACTTGAAGCTAGCAAAGAACTCTGGAAATTGTACACCGATGGCACAACAAGCAAGGAAGGTTTAGGTGTAGGCCTGATCCTATAGAGCCCCAAGGGTGAAGAAATCACTTACGCACTGCGATTCAATTTCCAGGTATCAAACAACGAGGCAGAGTACGAAGTGCTCTTAGCAGGTCTGAGGCTAGCCAAGGAGGTTGGCGCGAAACAACTAGCGAATCTCAGCGATTTGCTACTTGTCACAAACTAAATAAATGGGACGTATGAGGTGAAGGACCCCATGATGCAGAAATACCTAGATGTAGTCCGTAACTTAGCCATCACATTCAAAAGTTTTTCAATAAAACAAATCTCTCGGGGAAAAACGCAAGGGCGGTCGCTCTCAGCAAGCTGGCCTCTACTTCGTATGACCATCTCACAAAGAAAGTATTGGTTGAAGTACTACCGGAAAGAAGTATCGATAACCAAAAGGTCAATACAATATCGACCCATCCAGAATGGACCAAACCTTTTGTCGACTACTTGCGCCGTGGCGTTCTTCCGGACGACCCAGAGGAGGTAAGAAAATTCAAAATTAGAGCACCACATTTTGCAATCAGGGACAATAAACTTACCAAGAAAAACCTTCAAAAATGACGCCTCACACCTCCATCCCCATTCTATCATCATGCATCACATCTCCGATCACCTGTTTTGGGGGCAATTTCAGTCAACGACCATCAATGTATGTTTCTTTGATAATTAGCGATCCAGACGGTATTTAGGGGTTATTTGCGTTGCTGATTTCTGAATCTCAATCAATCACATATTGATAAATTAAAGATGTTATACTTCAAATGTTATGTTTTCCTTTTGATAATTAGATTGGATCCAGTAACAGTAACATCCCCCCTAATTCCAAGAAAAAATGGTCCAATTTGTTGCCTTTATTCCTCGTTCTAGTTTTCATATCGGAAATCGCATTCTTAGGTCATCTCCATTTAATCAAAAAAATCTGATTTCGTCAAATCATGGGATGAATCATTCTACCAGTTTACAACTTCACCTCTTTTCTCTTCCTCCAATTACCTTTGTAACTTCTGATGAATATGAGGCCCCGGTGGTGGCACTTTCAGATGCAACATCGATGTCCGATGTTGGTGAGAGTTATGAGGAATGGTTGCAGAGAGAAGATCATGTTGTGTATTCTAGGGATTTTCTTAAACAGCCTGTAACTCTCGCTGGTGGTGATCAGGTATATATAATCAATCACATTTGAAGTTGTAAACTTGGAATAATCTTCTATTGAGTTCTTGAATTATGAGATTCTATGGTTGTTTCTTGAATCAGAGGTCTTGTGATGTGGGAAGTAAGTTTTTCCACACCATAAAAGGGGTCAAACTGATGTTGCGATTGGCTCCACTTACACAGATGAAACATCTGGTGTTCTTAGATCAACAAAGTCAAGTAAATACTATGCTGAAAATGATGTTGCCACTACATGAGGGTGGGAAAGCACAATCATCAAATGGTCAAATTACAAACACATGAAATTATTAAGAACCCTAATGAAAGAAAATCTGATATTTCAGAAGAGGATATGATGTGATCATGACAACAAGTCTCTCTTCAGATGTCACAGTTGGCTACTTTTCATGGGCATAATATGATCTAATGGCCCCAATTGAGTCAAAAACTGAAAAAGTATTAGCCGTTGCATACATTTCAAACCGCGGTGCACTAAACTCTCGCTTATAAGTTCTTGAAAAGGTTGAAAATGTCAACATCAAGATTGATTCATCACCATACCCATGATGAGAAATGTAAGCATATCAACATTTTTTTTACAAATACACTTTATACCCTTTTTATTCCATTAAAGAATCATTCAATAATCAAGATTTGTTTTTGGTTATAATATTTGCAAGTGAACAAGGTTGAAGCTCTAAAGCATTACAAATTTTGTTTGGCTTTTGAGAATTCCAATGAGGAAGACTATGTTATCGAAAAATACTTCCAGTCTCTTGTTGCATGTACCAAGGGTAGAATGGTCATTTTACTTAATGAGTTTAATGGATTAAAGCACTTAATATGGACAACTATCTATGCATATGCATATGCATATGCATATATATAAGATCATATTAACCGTTTTGTTGTTTTTTAGATATTGTGATGCACTCAACTACAAAATTTATTGTTGGACATAGTGATTTCATGGCATGAAATTTGTTTATTATAGCTGGACCTTCAACTCTTTTCTATCCTCCCGGTTCTTTTTGAAACTGGTTTGATTGGATGTAATTTTCTAAACTTATCAAAGATTTTGTCACTTTTGGATCTTCTCGTTCCTTTAATGCTTTAAGAAAGTCTCGATATATTATTTTTAATAGCTTATTGAACTGGTTTTTATATCTTTTGTACAGACCAAAGCCCCCGCCAACTGAAAAAGGAAATAATTAGATAATCAGCTGGAGTAAAGCTAACGGTTTGTTTGGTTGGATGGATGGAACGGAATCATAGAGGAACGAAACGGGTCATTCCATTCCATGATCATGAAACTAACCTCAATGAATGCCTGAAGAGCAACTCCAGTGTATGTATTTGCTGGGAAAGCATTTAAAAATCCAGAAATCCATTTCTAACCTTCTTCAATTCCATGTAAATTTCGGAAGCCATCAACTTCAGTATGAAAATTTTAAAGAAAAGATTTATTTTAATCTTTTTAGCAATAAATAATATATCTACATAAAAGAAAGTTTAAGCATAGTCTCCATTCCATTCAAGCACTCACTAAAAATATGCATTAAAAATGCATATTTTTGAAAAAAAAAAATTCTTTTTTCATATACTAGTATTAATTTCGAGATTTAAGGAATATTTTCATATATTTAAAAAAAATAAAAAAAAAATAAATTAAGAAAAATAAAAAATATGAAATCCAAGTGCCGTTCCATTTTTAACCTTCTTCATTCCCTTTGTTGCTACTTTTTGACCTATGTGACCCTTCTCCTACCTTAATCTTAATGTAATTGCCATTATCATGGTTGCATATGCATATGCATATTCATATGCATAAGCATATGCATATGTCATATACTTATTCTTATGCATATGCATATGTCATATACTTATTATTCATATGCATATTAATATTAATATGCATATGCATTTACTTATTCACATACATATGCATATGCATATGCTTATTCATATATAATATAATCATTCTTATTTATATGCATATGCATATGTCATATACTAATGAATATGCAAATGCATATGCATATGCTTATTCATATGCATATGTCATATACTTATTCTTATGCATATGCTTATGCATATTGATAAGCATATACATATGCATATACTTACATATGAAAATATGCCTTATATTTCGAAAATAAGATTTAAAAAAAGAATTTTTCAAAAAAATGCATTTTTAAT